AGCATAACACTGCTAGTTCACAACCTTAAGTTTTGAATAATCAGTGGCAAAATATATCTTTGCAAAACTTGTTTTCATAGTTGAAAAGTTAAATCACAATTCTTGTTGTGCAATGCTAAATTTATTTATGTTGAAAGAGTGCAAATATATACATTTATAATATATATTGCACTTATACATTCTGTTTATCTTGAAAATACTTAAATAATATGTGCTATATTATCTAAAATGGCCCTCTACTGTAAACTGACACTCTGGCTCTGAGAGAAGAGCCAGTTTGTAAAAAAAAGTCTTGGTTTTGCTTGGTTTATTAATAATCAAACTCATTCAATGGCACAGCATCCTCTTTCACGTCATCTCATAAACTTGATCTAATTAGTTAGTGCTGAAATATCGCATCGTATCGTGATATGGGTGTGAATCGTATCGTGTTGCATCGCAATATGTCACAAATGTATCGCTAATATATCGGATCGTATTCTTTGTATCGAGATGCGTATCGGATCGGCATTATAGCTTAGATGCCCAACCCTAATATATATACACACACACACACACACACACACACACACACAGTTGAAGTCAGAATTATTAGCCCCCCTGAATTATTAGACTGCTTGTTTATTTTTTCCCCAATTTCTGTTTAACAGAGAAAAGATTTTTTCAACACATTTCTAAAAATAATAGTTTTAATAACTCATCTCTAATAACTGATTTGTTTTATCTTTGCCCCGATGACAGTAAACAATATTTTACTACACTTTTTTAAAGACACTTCTATACAGCTTAAAGTGACATTTAAAGGCTTAACTAGGTTAATTAGGTTAACTAGGCAGGTTAGGGTAATTAGGCAAGTTATTGTGTAATGATGGTTTGTTCTGTAGACTATCGAAAAAAGAAATGGCTTAAAGGCTAATAATTTTGTCCCTAAAATGGTGTTTAAAAAAAATGTAAAACTTTTTTTATTCTAGCCGAAATAAAACAAATAAGACGTTTTCGAGAAGAAAAAATATTATCAGACATACTGTGAAAATTTCCTTGCTCTGTTAAACATCATTTGGAAAATATTTAAAACAGAAGAAAAAAAATTTGAAGGGTGCTAATAATTCAGACTTCAACTGTATATATGTATGCATGTATGTATGTATGTGTGTGTGTGTGTGTGTGTGTGTGTGTGTGTGTGTGTGTGTGTGTGTGTATATGTGTATGTATATATATATATATATATATATATATATATATATATATATATATATATATATATATATATATATATATATATATATATATATATTAATGTTTTAGATGGGCATAGATAATCTTTTTAATCTTGATTAATCTTACTGTAATCTTGGAATTAATCTAGATTTACTAGATTAAAATGCCTCATTTGAATTCTGTCGAAGCCATTCAGAATATGTGTGCTTATATAATGACTTTAACTGTGATTGCATTTCCCAGCATTCCTACCTCATACATCTCATTCCAGGTGGGGTTGAGGTTCTCCTTGATCACGTGACTTTTGAAGGTTTCACCTCCGATTTGGATCTTGACATATGGGTCGCTTTTCCCCTTCACCATCCCACCCATCAGATTGTCTTTAGCCACCAGATTCTGACCCTCGACCAAGTGGATCCGCAGCAGCCCCTGCAAATATGAACAGCATGGTTGAATCATTTTGATTTTGCAGGTTGTTTAGGATTGATTTGGCCATCAAATAATGCTTTTCCAGAACTTTTAGTTCTTGTATGGCTATTCTGACGCATTATTAAGAGTGTAGACTAATGGATGAGATCTGCACACCTCGGTGGCGAAGCTGGAGTGGGGAGTGGTTTTCTCTGGCCGTGAGCTCTTTGAAAGAGGTCCACTAGAGAGGAGCGACGCAGTTACAGCGGCTTCATCCAACCAGAGAACCTGCAGGAAATGACATCAATGTAGACTGAGATGCTTCTTTCAAATTATTTTTGAAAACATTTGTTCATAACATTGCTAAACCTTTTTTAAAACACTTATCACTTATGATAAAAATATATAATGTTTTATTAGGTGGTGAAAATGTTTAATTTTTGCAGTTTTTTGCTATAAATTGATATTTTTTTGTAATTAGCTGCCAGGAAAGTGATATCAACAAAATGATGGAGCTGAAAAATGGCCTAACCAGAATACGCATGGAAAAAAGGTACAGAAAAATTACATTTTAGTAAACAGAAACTAAAATTTAAAACAACATACAATATATATATATATATATATATATATATATATATATATATATACATACATCATACAATTTTACTATATTTTGAAGAAATAAATGCAGCTTAAGTGAGCAGGATGATGGTGAATTTACCCTGAGCACTGTGTTGATGTGAATGCGACTCTTTGGGCCAGAATTCTCCAGATTATACCATTCATCCATAGACAGATCGGGATGAGAGAGGAGACGGGATGCAGGAATAGACATTTTCCCCAAAAGCTGAACACGGTCATTATCCTTCACCTGAAAGAGACCCAAAGGAGATCAAACAAAAGTCACATTTGGAAAAAAATCCATAAAGTATTCACATATGAGCCTTCGATGAGCTGTCATTTTGCTTTGGAGGTTTTCTACGATTAGTTCACATCCATCCAAGTGTCAAAAACACACAATGTCCACAATGTACTTTGCAGCATCAGCTCTTCTCTCACTGTGTCTAAAACAATTAGTTCAAGAATACAGTCCTCATAAACTAGGGCTGAACAACATATAGACATTATCGTTATTAGTCCCATTGCATGATTAGATTATTATTGTGAAAATAAATATATTATTACATATTATTTTATACTATTGCAAAGAATTATTCATACAATGATGATCATGTTATTGTACGTTTGATTGTTCAATTTCTGTATTTAAACAATGTAAGACTGCCTAGAAAAGGGCTGTAAAGGACTGTTTATTTAGCTTTTTTTCTCTATCTCTGGATATATATATATATATATACATACACACACACACACACACACACACACACACACACACACACACACACACAGTTGGAGTCAGAATTATTCGCCCCTTTGATTTATTTTTTATTTTTTAAATATTTCCCAAATGATGTTTAACAGACCAAGCAAATTTTCACAGTATGTCTGATAATATTTTTTCTTCTGGAGAAAGTCTTATTTGTTTTATTTCGACAAGAAAAAATGCAGTTTTGAATTTTTTAAACACCATTTTTAGAAAAAAATTATTAGCCCCTTTAAGATATATATTCTTCGATAGTCTACAGTACAAACCATCATTATACAATAACTTGCCTAATTAACCTAACCTGCCTAATTAAGCCTTTAAATGTAACTTTAGGCTTTAAAGAAATGTTTGACAAATATCTAGTCAAATATTATTTACTGTCCTCATGGCAAAGATAAAATAAATCAGTTATTAGAAATGAGTTATAAAACTATTATGTTTATAAATGTGTTGAAGAAATCTGCTCTCCGTAAAACAAAAATTGAAAGAAATAATTAACAGGGGGGCTAATAATTATGACTTCAACTCTATCTATCTATCTATCTATCTATCTATCTATCTATCTATCTATCTATCTATCTATCTATGATTCAAATCTATGCTGTTTTGATGTGTGTAAATAAAAGTCTGTCTATTTGACAATTATTCACAAATGATCCCACTTCTGAAGAATGCATAATAACTGTTAAAACACACACACACACACACACACACACAAAAATAATTCAGATATTTCAAATTGACTTGAAACTTTATTATAAATCTAAGCTGAAAATGATATCATTATTATAAGCATGACTTTTAAATGATCGGATGCCTTTTGCTATGCCTATGTAACACTCTAACAATTTAATAATGGTTTCAGACTTGTTTTATTTTATTAGTTTTTGTGTTTTATTTGTTTTGATTTTCTTTTAGTGTTTGTTGTTCTCCAGATTCCAATGTATTGATTATTTTCTTTATCTTTTCTAACATTTCTGTAGCTAGCTGTACAATGAACATGCATCCATTTGCAATCAAGTCGCACAATATTACTTCAAATTACAAGTTTTATGTATCCACTGCTACTGATGTTATTATCAAAGGAATATACAGAATCTAAGCACATTTAGACATAAAGGGTCAGATGCTACCTTCAGCATAACTTCATAACCACACGCAGATAACAACCTTTTCACGAACCAATCTCCACATGCGCAACGTAGTTCCACATGTTATCAGGATTCTATTGTTAACTTCATTAGGGGGTGCACCGTTCCCGGAAGTACTGCAATACCGGGTCGATGCGTGGAGTGGACGGAGCAAGCCCCTATTCCATCTCCCTGCTCCAAAAATCAATTTAATATATGGTGCCCGGGTAGGGCACGTATCAGATATTAAACTGATAAGAACAGATACTACACTTGATCTTAGCCAAAAGGCCGAGAAGCGATGCCCACAAACTGTCAGGAGGAGGGACCGCCTTCCGCGAAACCATAGATAGGTTGCCGGTTAGCCTTTTTACACACGTTAAAAACACAGAATCATCTGTACATGCACTTATAAACAGCACTTACTCATATAAGAAGAGGCGCATGTTGCTCGTTTTAAAATAAAAGCCGTCTCTAAAGCAGAAACGGACTGGAGGAGTGGCTATTATAATGAGGGTTTGCTAGTCCTCAAATCAAAAACACGGATTATACTTTAGGAGTATTTGAAGATGGAGCTTTTAGAAATCACAAAATGTTCATATCAGTGATGAAATGAAAACATTTACAACACGACTGCGGAGGTAAAACTCGTGGAATCAACGAACTCCATGTAAAACATGTGTTTGGGTTTTAAACACGGAAAGGGTCTGCCATCCTGTGGACAACAGAGGAACTGCACAAACATTTCTCTTCATGTCAGCACAACACTTGCGCATGTAACACGCTACTGGAGCACCCAACCCCCTCCACAATGTCTGATGCAAACACCTCAGCAGGTAATGGAGCTTTACTGATGAGGTGAGAATCACCGTGTGTTTGCGGATCATGCAAAATACAGAGTTGAGGTGCTCCAGAAACCTGTCCAACAACTTAAAGCACACACTAATAATGATTAAAAGCTGAATATCGCTGTATAAAAACAACCAAATAACACCGAATTACTTCCATTTTTATTTCTAGGCGCCTCTTTGTCTCCTTATAAGTATTAAACACCACAAACACACTAACAAAAGCAACAAACGAGAAAAAATACTGGTACAACAATATATTAAATAAATAAATATAGCTGCCTAAAAAGACAAATCTCTAGGCGGATATAATGATATTAACAAATGTCAGGAGATATTAAATAAACTTGAACGTTTTCTGATGAAAAGTCACCTGTGGGCACATGCAGCATCTCTTAACTGTCTGCACAGCAGGCTACAGCATATCAGGAAACATTACGAACATTAATACAGCACATATACACGCATTATAACGCTGGCACACTCGAATCAGTGAAGTCACTATTAGATGTGCACGTTCGCCTCGCCTCGCTCACCAAGAGCACATTTAACGAGTCTAAACACAATTATCTCCGTGACACAACGTAATTAAAAAGTATTAATCTCCCTGACATAAAGTAACGTTAGACTAATTAAAACTTAAGTACATAAACGCATCCAACATTTGACAATCTAACGTTAATCATAACACAACCGTTAAAGCAAACATAACGTTACCTGTGTTTTGCGAATGTCCAATAATAGTCTAGTAATGTCACGCCACAAACAACGGAATGATAACAACAACATGATGACAAGTTCGACGAAACATCCCCAAAAATTATTTGATTCTTGATTAATGTTACACAAAATGTTTTAAAGCACTCACCTGAGGGCACGAGCTGTAGTTTTTCACCGACCATCGCAATCACTCGTGTCCGCGAACTCAAGCGCGCCAAACGATGACGTTGCAAATTTGCGCACGATTCTACGCGACAAGTAAGGTCATTTTTTATATAAGGTCAAATTATGTTCTCTTCCTATTTAATTTTGATCAGGTTTGCTGTGGTGTTATTTAACAAGTAGAAATACTTACAGGTTGTGGCGAACAATCCACAGCTTCTTCTATAGACCTTTTTCACAGCGGAATTGAACACCGGAAGCGCCCTTCGAAGCAGTGTATCGATATTTCCGGGTTCGCTAGGAGTCGCAGAGACATGACAGCCTCGGGACAGCGGATGACTTTCTCACGGTCAACTTTGCCATAATTTGGACAGGAAGATGTTGTTCGTTGAATGTGTAAAACTGCCTTAATAAAACAGCATTTAAAAGATGATACCGATTTGCAGAATTTGTGCAGAAAACGTGTCTTACCGTTTGCAACATCAGGTTCCAGTAAGGTGCACAGCCAACAACATAAGATCTGCTCATTCAAGCCATTCGTAAGCTAGATTAACCTGGCTATTTAACATCCAGCAGAATGAGTTTAATGTCAGTAGTCCCGTCTGTAAACTGTGCTAACCCCCTCCTTCCTTTTTATTCAGAGTCAGATATAGTGAATGGCGAGGTAAGTTAGCTGTACAGGCGAGTTGCTATCGGTTAATACATTACAGGTTGTTTAATGCTCGTGAGGTTTTCTCAAGTCTGGAAACACGTTAGCTCCTACTCGTGGATAATATTCATTTTTATTATTTATTTAAAGAACAGAAAATAACATTTTACAATACAAAAATGTACATACCAGGAGGTAATTATGAATAAAATACAAATAATCAAAATGTAATAATGAAATACATTTGTAGAGTTCACACATTTTAAAGTGGGTCGAGTTTCTTGTTTAGAGAGTTGATCCTGGTATTATACAAGCATATTTGTCATCAATACCTTAAAATCTGGTTTCATATTAGTAAATTTACATTTATGAATGTACAATTTTGTTAACAACATAAGCAAATTAAATAAATAAAACTATTTTCCTCTAGATTAGGATAATCAAGTAAAGCCCAAATGTACATTTATCTATAATGAAAGAGGTTTTGAACACAAAAGAATCGTTATTAATACATTTTGCAACTCACCCCATAAGCTGACTATGTACGATGCCAAAATAAGTGTAAAACTGTCTCCTCATATTCGTTACAAAAATACAATTTACATCAATCCCACTTTTAAATTTTTGCAAACAATGTTTTGCTGGATAAAACTTGTGGATGAGTTTATAGGACATTTCTTTAATTCTATTTCTAACATGATATTTCTGTGGTAACAGCCACACTTTTCTTCAATTCACCCTTTAATAAAGACATATAATAAAATTGAATATAAGGTACAGTAATGATTTCTTTTTGGAAAAGAGTATGAATAGCTCTATCATTACTCTTGGTATTTAGTAAAACAAAATTTGCAGACATAAGATTTAGTAATATCAAAAGACAATGCATCAGAAGGATGGTCTTATTAATACCTCTAAATAACATGAATGAATAACATGTCTCTGCAGGAATTGAACCAATAACAGTTAAAACTT